CAGGAATCAAAGTAGCAGCCCTGATTGTGGATGCCCACACTCTCATTTGTGGACAACGCTGCTTCTGTCTATGGAGTTGAATTGCAGGTAATCCCAGAGAGGGCTTTTTTTTTTTTTGCACTGCAAGGAATAGATATTTGTCATGTAATATCTTTGTAATATGTACTACTTAGCTAGTGTGCGTGTGTGTAAACACACCTTCACAACAAGCCGAAAAGTACTAAATATCTTCCCATTTAGATATAAATGTTCTCCAAGTTACTATACGGGACTATGCAAGAGAACAAAACCAGGTTTGGCTGCATCTAGCAACTTAGAGCTGCAACACGGTAACTACACAATTAACTAAAAGACCTGCTCTATAAAAAATATTCAGTCAATGAGTTTCCTGGCTTAACACCAAAAGGTGTGCAAGCAGTTGTATTCCTAAGGAAAAAAGGTTCATCAGTAGATTTCCACCTAATGATATATTGCTCCCACTCATACTGGATGAGGCAAATACATACCCATTAATGTTATAAGCTTATTCTTCAGCTGAGTGTCTAAGCGGGCAATCATCATCTCCACGGCGTTTCTGATTTCGCGAACTCGCTCATCCTTGGCGCTGCGCACCGCCTCCACGTTCCTCTCCTAAAACAGGATCCAGAAAGAACACGTACAAAAAGAAATCCTTCACACTTCTGCACATTTTTAATTCACTTTACACGTTGATTCCACTCTCTCAGATGAGGCCGATGAATAAATAGCCTCCTGCAGCCTGCCTCCCTCCAGTCCTACTTTCTCTATTGCAGGCAGGGAGGAATATCTGATCTTACAGAAACTCTCCCATTCTGGATGATAAAACAGGAAGTTATTTTTAGATGGTCTGTTGCAGTCTGCCCTGAGGTCAGTCCAAACACTTCACGGTTACGCTGTGAACACTTTCACTTTTCTGGAACAATAAGTGTGCCCTCTGGCGGGTGACCAAAGGTTAATAAAGTTTGAGCAACTTTTTCTCATTCCGGAGACATTTGCCATATGGAGACTTTTCAGTATTGAAATTCATAAGCACAACTATTGGTTTCTCTTCCATACCTACAACGGCACGGAGAAGTTACCTTTCTGGTAACAGCAATGATCTGGTTTAAGCTGTGCCCTTCACCCTTGTGTGATCCTCAGAATACTTTACAAGTACTCACAAGCAACCCCCTTGGTGATGTATCGCACTTGCCTTTGAGCTGAGGAGGAGCTAACCTACCAGTACATGCTGCAAACCAATACACGACAAATAGCACAGCCAAGAACCATACAGAAACCAGCCCACAGATGGGATTCGTCTATGCCGCCCATCTGGAATATATTTTATTTGCACAATGACTACATAAGTGGCCCAGTATTTAGCACATCCTTCCTAGGACACAAAATCCACATTGCTTTGCTGGAACTTCCACTGAAACTGCCATGGCCAAGCTTGTCAGATGCAGGGGAACTTCTGGCGCACACACACATCATGATGGGGAGCAAAAGAGTGGCACTATGTCTAGATAGCGAACCGCTTTTTGAGCACAGTCCCTCTCATGGGCTTAAACACACCTCCTTAGTCTATTTTCCTAAGGGGAAAAAAATAAGCTAGTCTAGAATAAAGCATTTTTATACTGGTTTAGCCATACTCAGCTACAGGAGGCTCTACTCTGTACAGTGTTTACAAGATACAACTTTCTAAGAAATTCACAGCTCTAGCTTTTAGACAGTCTAGCATTTCCATCTCCCACTTCGCAGTCACCCTTTTACAACAACAAGCTGCAGAAAAACCTGATGTTTTCATTGATTAATTTCTTACCACTTCTTGCACTAAACTGATTAGTTCCATGAGTCTTCTTCTAAGCTTTGCCACTTCTTCATTTACTTTTGTGACATGCTGCTCATAGATTTCTGCCAGTGGCTTAAAGGTATGTCCTCCATGCTGTTAAAGAAAAGAGGGAGAGAAAAGGGTACTGAATATAGTTTCAACTTTCCCACTGCTATTAAATTATAGGAGGAGAGGGGAAGAAGGCCTCCTAGTGAATCGCTCAGTTTGGAAACGTTCCAAAGCAGATTGCATGTAGGAAGTCTGTCTTTCACTTCCCTTCATAAGTAGTCATGAATTTGGCTTTCATAGCATCAAAGTTTCCTGTCAAGAGTTATTTAGAGTCTGAGCAACCTTCCAAAAACAAATCACTTTATTCACTGTGCATATCTTTAACAAATCAGAAGATAGACTTTTTTTAATTAAAAACACCATTCCCAAACAAAAACAGCACAGTATTAACTACATTCAGCCATTTATACTCCAAGGTATGACAGCCATCTCCCCTCAAAATATGCAACAGGAAGGATAAAGAGCAGGGTTAAGTGCTCCGTAGCAGTTTTGAAGCCACTCAAGAACACTCCCCATGATATTTAAGTTATACAGGTTCATCCAGATTTTCAGAAAGATCTCTTTCTTTGCACATAAAGTTCTCCTTGTCTCCAGTTTGTCTGAAGTATCAAAAAAAA